AAAAATTAAGACCCATAGCTGTTGGATATGATCTAACTTATTATTTATATGACCAGGAAATGGGCTTTAACCCATGCCCAGGCTCAAGCCCAAAGACCCAAGCTTGCAAAGGCCAACAGGGATGGGGCCAATCTAATCTCAGGGGGAATACTGTTCCAAAGGGTAGATGCCACAGCAGAAAAGACTCTCTTTCTGGGTTGTATCAGGTGGCACACTGTAGTTGATGGTACCCAGAGCACGCTCTTCCTCCCAGGTTGGATCGGATGGATAGAAACAACTATGTTGTATGTACGTAGTAATAATGCACTTAAACTTTACAAATCAGTTATTTAATTGTTAATATACTCCCTATTTATTTTTCTTCGTTTTTTGGATCCTGCATGGCATTAATATATATTCTAGCACAGGCTTATCAAACTGGTGGCCCATGGGCTGGATGTGTCACATGCAGGCCACGCCCACCCCAGGTCCACAAAGACAAAAAATGTCACACTATGTCATGATATGTCACGTGACATGATCGAGTTTGACATCCATGGTCTAGCATATCCAGGTAGAAATGCAATATACTGTACACTTGAAGATTAACATCTATATAAATTCTTTAGATTAAAAGCCATCAGTCATTATTTGTGACAATACCTAGAACAATATTTTGAAAGAGATGTTTCACTTACATTAATCTGATTTTCAATAAAAAATAGTTTTAATTTGTATAGAAAGGCATTTCCACTATCCTGAAGTCTGGTGAAACACGAACTGACATATAATTTCATAATGTGAACCACTATAGTTGGCCCTGTTTTTACTAACCTGTCTTCAAAAATGTGCTTTCCTCAGTAGTAGATGAAGAGTATAGATTGAATATAGTTTTTCAGTAAAGAATATAAGCCACCTGCAGACTAACTGCTCTTTCTTTTTCGGGGTAGAATGAAGAAGACAGCAATCTTTGTTGATTCTTTCCTCTACCTGCAAATTTTTATGTCATCTGCCTCCCCATCTGTTCTGATGTTTTGGGTACTTTTCAGAACACTGGATGAGATCGTGTTAATAGCTCCAAAGGGAATCAGTGGAAATTGCTTTGTGTTTTTCCAACTGGGGAGAATATTTTGAATGGATCTTATCTTTAGAAACTTTGCTGCTGGCAGAAAAGTTGCTGAAAACAGAAGCTCATTTTTTTTATTTTATTTTTTTTCCCCCCATGGAAACAATACTAAGGTACACATTTGATCCATAACTAATACGAGGATGAACAGTATGTAGCCTTAAATTGTTTTTTACTGTTGTTGCAATTTGCACTATTGAGTAACATCTCAAGTGCTGCAGTTACTGTTACTGTTGTGATCAGGAGGAAAATAATTCATAGCTGACATTAATGGGACACAAAGATGTCATTCGTTTAGAATTTTCTGGAACTGGAACGGGGTGGGTTCTAAAATTTTTTACTAGCGGTTCTGTGGGCATGGCTTATTTTTTGGGCATGACTTGGTGGAGGGTAATGTGACTGGGTGGGCGTGGCCAACCTTTTTTTAAAAAAAACTTTTAAAAGCATTTTTTCTACAGCCTTAAGAGGTTGTAGAAAAATGCTTTTAAAAGCCTCTGACAATCCCAGCTGAGCTGCATGATCATCAGAGGCTTTTTTTTTTTTTTTTACTTTTAGAAGCATTTTTTTTGGCCAAAGAGGTTGTAGAAAAAATGCTTTTAAAAGTAAAAAAAATAAAGCCTCTGATGAGGTGGGCGGGGTAAGTGAGCAGCGACCAGGCCGTGGACCAGTTTGGGGGCATGGCCAGCCAATGTTATTACCGATTCTCCGAACTACTACAAATTCTTACTACTGGTTCTTGTGAACCAGTGCGAACCAGGAGCAACCCACCACTGAACTGGAACAAATAGCTGGTTAGAACGAATACAGTATTCGTCAATTTGAATGTGCATGAAATTAAATGTGCTTTTAGTTAAAATGATGATGAGTATGATTTGGAAGACCTGAAAAACTAAATGAGGGACAGACTGTCATGAAGAAATAGATTACTGCAATACACTCTACATGGGGCTGCCCTGAAAGTACATTAGAAGCTTCAGATGGTGCAAAATGTAACAGTGCAGGCAGTTTTGAATGCTTGTTGTTCAGCATGTATGACACCTCCGCCTCATAAGTTGCATTTCTGAATGCAGCTGATTTGTTGATTTAAAGCCTTTTAAGGTACTTCATAGATTAGGGTTGGGCTACTCACAGGACCATCTCTCTTCATCCTGTTAGATCTGACAAGAATAACTTGCTCTGGGTCCCATGTGCAAAGCAGTGCCATTTATTGGAACACTGGAGAATTTTTTTCTGGCCTGGCCAAATGGTGGCCTGGTGCCACCATTTGGAACAACATTCCCTCAGAAATTAGATTTGCACCCTTCCTGCTGGCTTCTTGCAAGGCACTAACTTGTTGTTATGATGAAGAAAGACTCATAGGCAGGAAGAAGGTTAATGGGAAGGTACCCAGAACAGCTTCTGGGAGATCCCTTTTATTGTTCTCTAAAGTCTTCGTGGCAGAAGCTGATTCATTGATCAAAGTTCACTTTGTAGTTGATTGGCTAAACAAAGCTAATGTTATAGGGTATGCTATCCATGTGGACAACACATAGACAGCCATGGTTTTCCTGCTGCAAACAATGTGACCTTGCTTACGTGACAGACCTCATGTCCTGAGGAAGGGTCTTTAAGGATCGTTGTGCTGATGTTTGCATTCCTCAGTGTGGTTTGCCAACTACTGAGAAAACAACCACCTCCACACTAACTTTGCCATTTAGACTGAGGCTTTGATACCATGATGAGCTCAGGGCTTGTTTGAGTTTTCTCAGGTGCTATTTTTAGGTTGTTGTTTTTAACTGGTTTTTTTTTTTTTACTGTTTTAATTATGAGTCACCAGAGTCATATATGAGATGGGCAGCCTGCAAATTTACTAAGTTTACTAACTAAATCTATGTGTTCAGTTGAGCCAACAATGATGTGATGGCCTGTATAATCACTTGTTTTCATGAAATTAATATTAGTTTATGCAATATGCTGTTTTGAAAATGGTGCTTTGACTGTTTTCTCCAATGCTTTTTAGAAAGCTTTGTTAAGTCATGCCTTTTTAGTAGCTTTTATTCCAAATTTGTTTTAATTTTACTTTTAATATTTCTACTGTTACCTTAAAAATGCTTATCAGATGGAAAGTCAGCAAACATCAATCAAGAACATATTATTTTTGTGTTCAGTTATTATCTTGGCAAAAGAAATAGATATGTGGTTTGTTCTAACATAATTACCAGCACTCAGAAAACAAGCAAACAAAAAAGCAGAATACAGAAAAAATAAGATTCACATTTTTAAGAAAATCTGACTATTGAAATTGCTTGTGATTAGCAATGGCCCCAAATCTGTCTTTTTAAAAAATAAATGCTATGTGAAAGTAGCTTCATTTTTTGTAAAGGCAAACATTTTTTCCTAAATTCCTTTCAGTTGTGGTTTTATTTATTATTGAAAATGGGTGAGAACATTGGGTGTTTTGGTCTGCAGCTTATCTTTTCATTAGTTTGCAGCATTTTTAGCTGCTTCCCTTTCTTGATTTAACCTCGATTTGTTCCCTTGACTTTTTACTGAGCGATGGGAAAATTGGCTGCTACAAATTGCTGTACAGATGATTGCACAATCAGATAAAACACAATCCCTGCTCAATCCATAATGGAGGCAAGTGCAAAATTCCTGCAGTCTCCCATAAAAATTCAACAAGAACTTTCTATTCCTATGAAATGTATCTCAAAATCAGTACCTTTTCTATGAGAATTAAATGAGTGATCAAAAAATGGAGAAGAAATTCCTAAGACAACTTTAGATCGAACAGCTGATCAGGGGTGGGTTCTACTTACCTTTACTACCGGTTCGCAACAGGACCGCACGCACGCGCTTGCTTTGCTCGCATGCACGCTCTTTTGCTCAGAAGCATTTTGATGTTGTCGGGGTCTGTGGGCGGAGCCTCCTGCTGGTTTTACTACCGGTTCTATAGAACTGGTGAAAACTGGAGGCAACCCACCATTGCAACTGATTAATCTGTTATAATTCAGTTAGGGAGCAAGAGATCTTCCAGGTAGAATTCAAGTTTTTTATTTATTCAGAGATTCACATTTCCTATGCCATGTTGTCCATTCAAAGACCTATTTATCTTGTAAACACCACTCATGCAATTTATTATCGCATTGCTAAGAGAAACACTGAAGCTAGGAATCACTGAAGTAATTAGGAGTCTCTTACACATTACTAGCCTTGTGTGACTTAAAACTGTAGAAGCTGTGAACTGATGTCTGGACTCATTGCTAGTCTGAAATAAATGTAAATAACAAGGGGGAAGGAAGACTATTTTAAATAGGAATTGGTAACTGTCTTGTTTTGGATGGAGTTGGATTCAATTAGCAACATCATTAGAATTCTGAGGTAATGGAAAATTAAAAAATGGTTTGCGCTACTGTTTGTGAACGCTGTATTTGTGGATGAATATATTTGGGTGTATAAAAATTAAGACAGTTCCAGAAATGGAAACCCTTCATCCAAAAAAAAAAAAAAAAGATTATTAGATTGAAAAATTTGTCCATTTTTTTTTTCAACAAGTAGAAATGTATACTTTGGGCATGTGATTCAAACAGATGGCAGACTAGAATTTCACAAGATGAGGGAAGCAGAAGAAACAACACATGATGTAAGATGGACAGCATCAAGAACTTGGAATGTCCTTGGAACTGCTGCAAATTGCCTATATAGTCACCAGGGGTCAGGCTCAACCAGATGGTGCCATTCAATAAAGACTGTTTCTATTTTCTTAAATTGAATGATATTCTTGTATGTCTAGTACATTCCATTGTTGATTTTTAAAAAGGCTTGGTATCCAAAGGCACTTTAAATGTCATTTATTCTCTGTGTGTCACTGTGTGTTTGTATGTGGGAAATTATACACAAAATAGAAAACTCTGAAAAAAGGAAAATATATATTTTATTCAAAACAATTCTGGCATCAAAGGAATTTATGAACTAATAACAAAATACTGCACTGAATGAGTACAGCAACTCTTCCTGTTTGCAAATCGTATTTGACAATCTTACCCAATTTCTCATTCTCTCGTTCCCCAAATTGTAACTCATTCAACAATGACATGTAATAAGAACTGCAAGTTACAGCATGGAAATAAATCCCTGCTAGGCAAGAATTGCATGGTATCATGTGTTATGTTTAAGAATCAGACTACATTGAAAGTTATTTTATTTTCTAAAATTAAAACCAGATATACAACATCAAATTGCATTGCTACACAGAGTCTTACATTCTATTTTTGCAGTAAGTGGACCTTTCTTAGAATTTAGGATTTCTCCGATATCGTGCTTGTGTGTGTGTGTGTGTGTGTGTGTTTTAATAATATTGTATGAAAATAAATATTCAAGGCTTAAAATATATTATCTGAAGTAATAGATTTTTTTGGGGGGGGGGATTACAATTTAACTTTTAAGAAAATTTATTTGGGAATTGATACTAGAATTTTCTGTGTCAAATGAAATGGCCGCCTTGATTGATGAAGAAAAATGGCAATTGTAAAGTAGCCTGAAATCCATTGTAAAATTTTCAAGATTTGGATTAAAAAAACAACATTCAATGCAATGCAATGATTCTATTGTATTCTTCAAAATAAAACACAAATTGGGGACCATATCCAGCCCTTCATTTATAAGCAGAAAGTGTAGGTATGATACTACATACTGGTCCTGTATCAATCCATTTTTGGATTACAGCTAAAGAATTGAATGGGATCTTCTTGTGAAGGAGAAACAGCGGGGACAGAACACTTTATACTGGAAATGGAACAATTTATATGACCCCAAAACTTTCAAAGCTGAAGTGATCCTTTTTATATTTCCTTGACATCACATACATGCCCCAAAGGGGTGCAGTTTGCAGCCCCCTGTTGCTTTGGTCATCGACAAAAGCGGGAAGTTTCTGTGGATGCCCATCGATATATCCATTATCTTCCAGCCCCATCCAAAATGCCACACAATCCTACAATCCGGATCACCTGCATACAAAGGCTATCCTAGCTAACTAAAAGCCAGAACACTGGATTAATAATTTTATGAACGTGTCCCACGTGTGGTATAATATTACTTATACTTGGAGCAGAGGCCTAATATATGGAAATTATTTTTGGAAATGCATACTAGCACTAACTGCGTTATATACTACCTTCAGATCCTTTGACCATGCAGAGATCAGGTACTGGATCTTGTCTTGTCTTGTGTACATATAGCTTCATTATAAACTATAGCAAACATAATTAATCATATCTATCACTCCCCAATAAAATATGCTAAACTAAATACTTCCTTGAAATAGTAAAAAATAACCTATGTATTGAAAGTAAAGATTAAAATACAGACTTTCTTACTTTCCATACGTATTTACCATAGAAATATACTTTATAATTCTACAAACAACATTTTATATTAAAGCTTTCAGTTTGCAAATCATTCTGATTTTAGCATGGCAAAATCTATGTTTTGGTTCTTCTCTTTACGTTTCCCTTTTTAGTGAAAGAGGGAATAGTGGTCGAGTAATGAAAATCAGCAAAAATAAGTAAATGCAAATGATACAAAGACATTTATTTAGAAAAATAAACTGAAAATGCCTATTTATCTGATACATTTTCCATGAAGAACAGATTTTTAGCTATAAAAATGTCATGTGTCAAATACGTAATACAAACATTTTCTCCCTTTATAGTAATTGGGAGGTTTCTGTCGGTATTCATTAGGAACATACCAGTTATCTTGGTCAATTTCTTGTTGTTATACTGATACAAAAATGTATTAAAATTAGACTGATTCTAAAATCCGTGTTAGTTTGTTGATGCTTTCTTGTTATCATTATTGTTATCTCAGTTCTAAGGAGCAAGTATTTGCTTTTTCAAAGATTCCAGCTGCAAAGTGATGGAGGAACATTATGTTTTCTTCATTTTTGTACACAAATTTAATTTAAATTTTTTTTTTTTGCTCTCAAACTCTCAACATACATCTTCTTGTTGGCTAAAATTTCACGTGGCCATCTGTGCAAATGATGGCTTACATCATTCCCCTGAATGAAAGTGACAGTGCAAATATTAGAAGTGCATTGAGATGCATGCTGTAACAGTTGAATTGTTTCAGCAAAGGACAGGAAACAACCTTTTCCCAAGCATTTTAGCATCAACTGTCTCTCTTCTATGGCTTTGAATTTGCACAGGAGACAATAATAGCCTTCTCTTCCACCCAATATGCATTGGCATCGCCTGATCCATTTAAGTGCTTCCAACTTTCATTTTGCTACATCTGTTTAACACATTTGGCTGGATCACAGGAATGCTGCTCGGCAATTGTTGTTTCTGCAATGGGTCAGAAAAGTAACTGACTTTTGTTTCTTCTGTCAGAGTGCATGGTGCTTAAGGCTGTGGCTTTTGTCAGGACTCAGCTCATAGCTGTTAAATGAGGCCGGTGTACTAATGCAGATGACACCAGATATCAGTTGTGCTCAGGCTCAAGGGTGCTCGTGCTCTAAGGAGAGTCCATGTTGTTATTATTTAGTATTGCCTGAAAGAGGTTGCACTGTCAAATCTGTCATAGGAGAACTGGTTATTGTGTCGTCAAATATTAAGATACCTTCTAGCCTGAAGGAGCTGCAACAGAGAAAAGAAAATAATAAAGAAAAAATAAAGTTAATGATACCAAATAAACCAAATACCAAATATATAAAAGGATACCGTATGATCAATTACATTTATTTTTCTTTGGAAAATTTACTGCTCATGTTGCTCAAAAATTATGCAAAACTACTTGGACTCCTTTGAAACATTTATGTGGCAGTTCTCAATGCATGCAATAGTAGCTTTATTCTTAGTGATATTTAACTCAGTAGCAGGGGCATACATTATTTTAGACTAACCGAATCTCTTATCTAAATCCTAGGTTAAGAATATTGAACTGAGTTAGGGAAGATCAAAGCTGCTTTTCATTATGTTAGTTGCTCTCTAAAGCATAGGAGCCTTAAGGACATGCCTTTATATTCCGGATACGAACTGAATAGTTAATAGAATAGTTAATCGTTAATAATAATAAAATAAAAAATTTAATTGCATTTCAATAAATTATAAACTTAATCCTAACTCAGAACTTTGGTTTTATCAGTAAATAATACAATACAGATATATGCCACTGCTGAAAATGAAGTATAATACTAAGTACAGAAGTTAATAGTTATTGTGCAGTGGCAGTGACAGGAGCATGGTGGCTCACGCGGTTAGGACGCTGGGTTAAAGCAGCAAGCCCGTGTTCGAGACCTCAGTACTGCCTATGGGATGGGGTGAGCTCCCGTCATTCACTTCAGTTCCTGCCATGGACATGAAAGGAATCACCAACTGGGCATCCCCCCATGAAAGGTTAATCCTTTCACCTTCGAAGCACCTTGGGTGTGATGAGAATGTCAGTGATAAAGTACTAAATACTATTTGAATGCACCAAAGAATAATTATTTGAGAATATTTCACATGATCTCAAGGCTTGTGAAAAAATCTTTACATTAATATAATTAAGTAAAGGAAACAAAACTTCAGAATAGCAAAAAAGTCAACCCTATATTTTTTTTATTAAGTCCTATTCCTATCTCTAATAAAATGCTATATATATTGTCCAGTATAAATAGTTCAAAAATATTTCTATGACATTTATATCTTGATAGTTTTCTTTTTCCTTCTGTAAAAATGCAATGTTACAATGTCGCATGAAAGAGCATATTTACTGAGACAATATAGTTTACCTATTCAGTTGAATTTTTTGAAAAAAAAATTGTAATCAGCAGTCTAAACTTCATGGAAGAAAAATAATGCTTCCAATATTCTCTAAGAGAGATAAGACTAAAGTTTTTTTCCCCTCTCTCTCTTACACACACACACACACACACACACACACACACACACACACACGCACAGAAACAAATCCCACATACTACATACTGCACAACACACAAAGTGAATATATTTTTCATAAAAAATAAACAAGACAAGGATCAAAAAGCTAGCATTACCATAGCTGAGCAACAGAAATCCAGAAAACCACTGAATGGTGATAAGTGACAGAGTTGGTACAGTTGCTTTAACTCTTATTTTTGCAGTCTAGACTTACAAAAATCTTAAGTCTCACTTGGACACTTTCTGTAGGAATCTCCTTGAACTTTCTTCCTGATTCAATATAGCTATTCTTATTCATGATTTTGATTAAGTTACATTTGAGATTTGTTTCTAATACAAGAGTTATGAAGACTCGAGCCTTCTCAAGTCAAATTTCTGTGATCTTTGCTATTTTGCTTCCTGATTAAGTGGGTCAGCACAAATTAAAATCCTTCAAAACACACATGCCCGATTTGTGTTATATAGCAACACATCAGGCGTCTGTGAACAGGACTATAAAACTGAATAACCTAACCTCAGCCAAAAATTGAGTAACTTAACAAACCAAAATACAAGGTTTCAACTAAGAATATTACACATGCTTTTTCTACTCTGAGGTTGGCAAGACATGGACACTGAATATCAACAGAAACATATAGTATACCTGACCATCATACCATAACTATTGTACATGGTAGCACCATTTACCAAGTATTATAAATTTAAATAGGTAAAAATGCACACACCCAGCACATTCTGATGGCTCACTGTTGAGAACAGTCAACTTGTGTTAAGATACTGGGGCTCGATTCATTATATCTTTTTAATTCTAATACTTGCCATAATGTATTTTTTACTTATATTTCCCTTCATTCTGCCTCCTAATAGTCACTATGCTGTACTGTGCATTCTGAAGGCTTCAAATCCTTATTTATTCAAGGAACAGTCTTTGTAACAAAAACCTTTGAATGTGCCTTTTGCCAATTTTAGATTTTAGAATGGTTTAAGTAGAAAAATGGGAATCTTAATCTGTTTCATGTCTTAAACCTTCCTTTGAAGTGCTGCTCATTCCAGCAATATCATGATAACACTTGGTTCTCTTTTGGTACAGTCTCCCAAGAAATGAAAAAAAGTGCAGCTGTGGCTGTAAATCATCTTATCTAACTTATTTCTCTCTAATTAGAAGATTCTAATGATCCAAGGATACAAGTCAGAAATGAAGGATTGATGAATCAAACAAACAAACAAGTCAACATTTTAGTATTGGACAACCCTGATACTTCCTATAAGTTTTAAATGGCTGATGAAAGTTCTATGTCCTGGCTACAGGATTTTTTAAAAGTGTGATGTTTACAGCTCATTAAGTATCATCAATAATGAATTTTGATAATTGGATCTTGGTTAAAGAATTTGTTGCTGCAAAGAGCCTAAAAAAAACCCCATCGCACTTCCCCAAAGCTATTTTGGTTGCTCTTCTTTACCAAAAGAAGAACAACCTATGTGGCTATATTTAAGTCCATAAAACAGATTCTTTGAGTTTCCCTGCAAGACAATTTTTAAAATATAGAAATCTATTGAATATTTTTTTAATTATTGTTTTTGTCCAGTTGTTAAACGGAATAACATAGAATACAACATCTGATAGTTGTACCATCATTATGCACTGTCCTCTTAAACACAAAGTTCGAAGAAGGATTTTAATTAATTCACTGTGACATTGCAAGTATCTTAAGCTAAGTTTCATAGCCCATTGAATCAACCTCCAGGGAACATAATTTTTGCTTTTTCATATGTAAAGCAACTGAATAGACTAAAACATAACATATGTAAGATCATAACATTTCGGAATGTCTGTAACATGCTTTAATTTCTGATGGGTTTCTTGCCACAGTGGGAAAATCCAATAATAACACCTGCTCTTTTCATGAAAGCCATATTTTTTTTGTTTTGCAGTGCTTTTAAGCAAATAGAGAGAAAAATGAGAAAAGAATTGCATAATAAAAAGGAACAAAGAGAAAATAGGTCAGAAAAATGCAAGCATCCGCATAATAGAAATAGGCCTACAATAATGCAATAACAGGGTAGCAATGACAAATTCCATGCACATATTTTGGGGAAAAAAATGTGCTAAATGATTGGAACAAAAGTGTTCCTAAATAAATAAATGTGACAGAGGTAAATAAATGTAAACTGTATGCTATCACTTAGCAATAATTGTTGCCGATAGGCTAAGAAGAATCTAAAATGGAATAAGGGTTAGCCTTGCAACTAATTGTACATGATGGCTCAAAGATACCTAAATGATTACCTATAATACTTGCAGTTATATGAATCTGTAAAGTTGTCTCATATTATTGATGCTTATGGTTCAGGTTATAAACAGTGACTAACTGACTCTCTCCAGGAATATATGCAAGTATTTTTCCAGTTTTGTCTGAAGGTAACTCTGAAATATGAACTGGTATTTTACCATACATTTTCCTAGGGTAGAAAAATCGTATTACTTACTCCCATCAGTAAAGTAAATGAAAGAACCATCTACTTCTCATATCTATGGACAATCCATATAAGACTTCTACAAATTTATCATAACTTGTAAATGTGACCATTTTTTTTGTTTCCTTCTATTCTTCTCCTCTCCCTTGCAATTAACAATTTCAGAAGCCTCTGTCCATTCTACATTTCCAGTTTTACATATTCATTGAAATATTTAAGACTGGATTGATCAATAAGCCTACTCCTTAGCTTCTTATAACAAAAGGTTGTTTTCGCAACATGAGAAATATATCATCCCTACAAATGCAGCCTCAAAACATTATCATTTTGAAAAAGTGTATAAAATTCAAAAAAGTACACAAATTCAAAAATACAACCAACAAATAATAGATTCAAAATAAATTTTCTTTTGAAAAAGAGAAAGTAAATAAATAAGTAATCTAAGCATATCATGTTTACTAAATATTAACTATTTATAAAACTTCAATTTTTTAAAATAGATCTTTATTGTAAATCAGGGGTGTCAAACTGGTGACTCATGGGCCGGATGCATCATGCACAGGCCATGCCCACCCCAGCTCTGCGAAGGGAAAAAATGCCGCAAAAGATCACGTGATGGCAACATGACGCCATGAGTTTTACAATCTGTGTTGTAAATGAAATCTGTGCCAAAAAACCATTTTTTTTTTTTGCTTTGGTAAGCAATATTGCCTTTTCATACATTGTTGTCACATATTTCCTGAATCTAGTCCTAATATCCAGGATACTATTCTTCTGATTTCTCAAAACCTCGTAATCAAGCTTACAACCCTGGAGGCCAATTCCTAACCATTGGTGAGGGTTTTTTTTCCCTCATCTATGCACAGCCAAGCCAGACATGTGTTACCACTTGCTGAAACAATAGTTGTAATGCTCCATGGAGATGTAGTCACCCTCTGATGACTCTGCAGATAAAATTCTCCAAGCCAGCCTGTCTGTTGTCACAGTACACAATTATTGCAGGTACATTTCTCTGACTTTCAGTACTTGCCCTATCCATATCATGCACTGCCAATCTTGTCTTCTGCTTCTGTTCATCTTACCCAGCATTATAATCTTGTTTGTAGACTTCATCAGCCCTCATGATATTCCATTTGTTTCATGTTTCTTGCTAACAATGTATATTTTGGCTTGTTTTGTGTGTTCTTTTTTTTTTTATTCAGCAGGTGGTATTTTTGATTACCCAAGATTACTACTAA